AAAAAAAAAAAAAAAAAAAAAAACCAACAACAACTTAAAAAACCTATAAAACAGGGCAAAAGAAAAAAAACAGAAAAAACAAAAAAAAATGATCTCCAATCGAGTCCAATGCACTTTTCAGGGTTGAGGGGGTTAACCAGGGCTGAAAAGTGGGGGTCCCTGTTAACCCCTTATGGGTGAAATTGGGAATCGGTTGAGTAGAAAAAAGAAAGAAAGAAAGAAAGAAAGATGAGGGAGTAAAGAAGGGGCGAAATAAAAAGGGTCTTTGATGGGCCCTAACCGGGTCCTGCTGGGTGAATGAATCCTGTAAGAATCCATAACACAAGGCCCTGTGTGTCTACAGTCAGCTTACAGAGGCTCTACTGTTAGGTCCCAGGTACGAATCCGCTCAGGAATGAAGAGTACGGAAAACAACAAAATAAGCAGATCAAACTTTTTTTGTTGTCTTCCTTTGATTGAAACAGGTCCTCATGGTCCTAGCTCAGTTGGTAGAGCACGCAAGTGAGACATTGAGAAGGTCGTGGGTTCGATTCTCACTTCATTCACCCCCCCCCGCCCCCCCCTGTGGCATGCTTCGGGTTCACCAGCTGAGATAGTTGGCTTGTCCCTCCTGGTTGGTTAGGAGGTAGCTGGGTAGTTGCCTTCTAGCTCACTCCAGGTGTTAGGGATTGCAGCGGTGATTAGGCACGGGTGGAAGTCAGTGTCACTGCCAACCCATAACTGCAACATTCAATGATTTCGAGATGCACTTAGACAGGAGATTAGGTAGCGTGAGGCATATGAGAGAAGAGTATAGCTTAGTTTTGTGAAAAAAAAGGAAACAGGTCCTCATGGTCCTAGGATACAGCATTCTAATCCATTCGGGGCAGTGGCAGGCTGGTTCCTTTTTTTTCCGACGGCAACATTCACATAGTACACATATAGTACACATTACTGAATCATTACTGATGCTTCCTTCCATTAGGCTGAAGCACCCCTGATCAGCATTGATTGGTCCGCAAGGCAGGGGATTGACTGTCAGCTTGTCCTTCCGTCTCGTATTCCTCCTCTCAGACTTGATAAGAGAGTGTGTTGAATTTGTCTGTTGAAAGGCTAGTTGGGCGTAGCTCAGTTGGTAAACCCCTGGACTGTTGAAATACAGACCCGAGTTCGAATCCAGATTCCAGATGCAACAAGATGGACAGAAAAAAATAATTCTGAATTACCTGGGGCTGGCCAGTTCAGTGATGATATCTCAAGGCCGTTGCTCTTATGTTTCTGGGCTCTAAGCTTAAAAAGACCTGCAAAAACACAGACTGAGGACTGTGCTGATTTCTGAGTTTTCCCGATGGATTGTGTGTCAGCTGAGATTCCCGATTTCTGCTGAGATTTCGATGTCTGTGTGTGAGCGTGCTTGCTGGTTTCCGTGTGTTTGTTTGGATGCCTGAGTGCTTCAGTGTGGGTGTGACCCGCCAGGGTACTTGTGTGCTTGAGAGGCCCTAGGGCCTGGTAGTAGGCTGATACTTACCTGTGGCCGTGACTTCGAGTGTTGCAGCAGGGGAAAACACTCAAGTAGCGGGGCAGGTAGGCCCGCGTAGCTTAGGGCTACACTTGAGTAGCGGTAGACCGGAAGAAGAAGACAAAAAAAAAAGGTTAGTACTTCACTACTTTCAGAGGCCGAGGGGATTTACTATTTAGAAACCAGTAGGCCTAGGTCTAGGCGGGTACCAGTCCAAGTAGCCTGAGTCTAGGGCCTGTGCGGACGATATCAGACCTGCAATGATGTTTCCCTCCAAAAGGAGGAAGGTGCCGGAGGCTGGGGAGGCCAAGCGGCCTGGGAACTCACCACCCAAGAGGCAAGCAGCCTATATATCTCTGGGAGAACACTTATTGCTCTCCCCCATTCACGGTGTGCATGTTTGGGCATCATGCTGCTTGAGCGGGCGTTGGACTTCAATTGCACCTGGAGGAGAGTGGAGGAGAGCTTGGCTCTCTGCCTGGCTATGGCGAGCTGCCTAGCTTGAGGAGGAGGGAGAAGTGGGCTTCGGAGGAGAGCGGCAGGGGTACTTACCGGCTATGGTCATAGCTGCTTTTGCATTGTCTTTTGAGCATCGGGACAGGGTCCCTAGTAGTCCGCCATTATCGCCATAGCCATCTCCTATCAGAGGAGGTTGGAGGTGAAGATCATGGCTATGGTGGAGCTCATGTTGTCCTGGCAGTGAGAGGGAACTTCGGATATTGGTTCTGGCTCAGCCATTCATTGTTGTTATTATTATTTGTTGAAGAATAATATTGCTCTGTGTGTGTGTGTGTGTGTGTGTGTGTGTGTGTGTGTGTGTGTGTGTGTGTGTG